TAAAACATTATGTTCCGTATGGAATGGAAATGTCAACTGGTTTTAATCACGGTGTGATAACGGTCATAAACAGAATCTTAGTGCAAATACTTTCACACGCAAACTGACCTTGTATAATATATTTGATTAGTGCATACATGAGTCAAGGTGAAATTCCCTCATGTTAAATCGTTAGTAGTTCTTTGTTTCTTCTGTCTTAAATTGAAATGTTCCGTGTCCAGTGTGAAATCATGACCTGACACGTGGACTTCAAAAGCTTTAACTAATAAAAAATTAATAACAGGAAAACATTAAGGGAAAAAGTAGTATAGATCACCAGAGATGTTATGAACTGGGAGTATTACCCTGCAGCTGTGAGGTACTTGTGCTGTCCTTTACTTACTCTACTTGGACTTTATATTTATACTCCACTGCATCTGTGTAAAATATTGTCCTTTGTACTTATATTTATTTGACATCTGCAGTAACTACTTACTTTTTAGGTCGAGTTACCACATAGAAAACATTTATAATGCTCATCAAATACAGCTCACCGTTACAGTATATAAAGAGCTGCAGCCTTAGCTACAGCATGAAACACCACTTATACATAAATGCACAGCAAATAATAAACCAGAATAAATTCAAAGACTAGCCACTTACATCATTTGTTTAATGTAGGATTACATTTTGCTAACTGTAATTGAGTATGTTTTGATTGGAGTACTATAATTGCTACTTCTATTGGGTTTGAATACTTTATGCTACCAATTTGTTAAATGTTACTGCAGCGTAGTACAGAAAAACAGCTATTGTTTTTCAGTGAACTTGTGAAAATTGAGAAAAAGTGTTTGTCTAAATCTTAAACCTAACCCTAATTTCAGTTTATTAAGTCAAAATTTTGAGATAATAATGAGAAATTTTGACTTATGGATGGCAAAATAAGCAAATAAATACAGTGGTGGAAACAAGTTTCTGTAATTTACGGCTCACACTTTCACATGATTACATCTTTGCTTGTCCTACCTTTTTTTTTTATTGTTATCAGATAAACCTTTCCAAGTAATTCAAGCTCACATCTTTGGAAACCTTGAGGAAAGTTAGCATACTGGTATTAAGTAGAAGGTCTGGACATCATATCTCCTGAACTGCACACCAACACATTGGTGTACCTGTTTAGCACTTACAGTGTATTTAAATGATGTGACGAATAATAAAGTCAATCCTTTGGAAGTTAGTTGTCATTTTCAGTAGATACCCTGTAAATACAAGTTTGACTTTTAGAGTTGCAACTTTTAAGTTCATACAAAACATTTTTTTTACAATCTTCCTGAACACTTTCAGTGTTCACAAGCTTAATGGGATATTTGTCCCCAGATAAGAGTCTGTTTTCTAAATCATATGCTTCTTATCACCATCTTTCATATCAGCTTATAGGAAAGGGCATTTCGGAAAAACAACCTTGATTAGTTGTATATAAGGGCTGGCCTCAGCAACTGGACGTTCACTCATCTGAGTCTACCTGTAGAGACAGCAACATGATGAAGTGGCTGGTCGTTTTGGCTGCCCTCGTGGCTTTCGCTGAATGTCTCCATAAGTAAGTCTGACTTGGTTGGTTGTTTCTTTATTTGTTTTATGTATTTGACATTAAATACATAAAAAATTGTGAAACTCTCCGTGTTCCTATGAGGAGATCTAAAGGTCCTCCTGCTCACCTGAATATCGCACAGACATTTCTCCAGCTGTAAAATTCAGGCCTGCCTTGCTCATTGCATGATTTTCTGCTCACGTTGCTACATGTAGGATGCCCCTGATTAAGGGAAAATCTGCCAGGCAAACCCTCAAAGAGAAAGGGTTGTGGGAGGAGTACAGGAAGAGTCACCCATACAACCCAGCAGCCAAGTTCTACAGCAGTGGCACCGAGTCCATGACCAATGACGCTGACGTAAGCCCAGATTAGTAAAAAGCTTTCGATTTTGTTCATGTCGTTGAAAACATACCTTGCTTTACTTTTTCAAAATTGTCTTTTTAAATCTGAATCTGCATCTGTGTACTTGTTCCTTCTTTATCTGTCCCTCTAGTTGTCCTACTATGGTACGATCTCCATTGGAACCCCTCCTCAGTCCTTCTCTGTCATTTTTGACACTGGCTCCTCCAACTTGTGGGTCCCTTCAGTGTATTGCAACAGTTCAGCCTGTGGTGAGTGCCACTATGATGACTACCGAAGCAACATGGTACAACCTGGCCAGTATGGTTGGAACATACAGAAATGTGTACTTCTGCTATTAGATACTGTTCAAAAATATCCCTTTTTCATTTTAGGCTCTTTTTCATTCATGAATTTTATCCATAATGTAACTTTTTTCCAGCAGAAAATATGCTCTTAACTCGTGAGGCGAAATCAATATACAAGCCTAGATGAACTTGACCACTAGCAACACTGGAATCCTTCGAGCATTAGTAGAAGTCATTTAGTAATAATAACAGAGCAGCACAGTTTGATTATCACAGTGACTTGAGATTTCTGCAGTATTTGCACTTGCAACTCTGATTCTCCACATAATGAATTGGTTTACTTTGGTAGCACATTCTTTCTAGCTTGTTCTAGTTGTAACTTTACCAGCAGAACAACACTCATTGCCATCACTGAAATGCTAGACATCCAAGTTGTATAAAATTGCAAAACTTAAAAATGCATTCCTCTGCAGAGAACCACAATCAATTCAACCCATCACAGTCATCCACCTTCCAGTGGGGTGACCAGTCTCTGTCCATCCAGTACGGGACTGGCAGCATGACTGGGTTACTGGGCAGCGACACTGTTGAGGTAACCAAAACCCGTGGAACAAAAAACTTAGTCTATTTAGACTTCAGATGGGCATCTCTCTGTGGTTTGCTGAACTGTGAGTGACAGCTGTTTTGCATGTCCAGGTGGGCGGCATCTCTGTGGCCAAGCAGGTGTTTGGATTGAGTGAGACAGAGGCTTCTTTCATGACTTACATGCAGGCTGATGGGATCTTAGGACTGGCCTTCCAGAGCATCGCCTCTGACAATGTTGTACCAGTTTTTAACAACATGATCACTCAGGGGCTGGTGTCAGAGCCCATTTTCTCAGTCTACCTGAGCGGGTACTGAAATGAAATGGAATTCAGTTGGCTGGAAAATCTTTACTGGGTTTTTCTTTTTGAGTATATTTTGTGAATTTATGATATGATTCTCTCTCTGTGTGTGTGTGTGTGTGTGTGTGTGTGTGTGTGTGTGTGTGTGTGTGTGTGTGTGTGTGTGTGTGTGTGTGTAATATCTTAGCAATAGTGAACAGGGCAGCGAGGTGGTCTTTGGTGGTACTGACAGCACCCACTACACTGGAACAATCACCTGGATCCCCCTTTCTTCTGCCACCTACTGGCAGATCAACATGGACAGGTGCCAATAAGTCATCCAAAAGCTGTTTTCTTCATAGCCAACATCTTTGCTTACAGCTTCATATCAGACACAAAAAATCACAAGGTTATAAAACTTCTTGGCTTGACTGTAATTCAACTTTCCACTTCACAGTGTTACCATCAACGGGCAGACTGTAGCCTGCTCTGGCGGGTGCCAGGCCATCATCGACACTGGCACCTCCCAGATTGTTGGTCCAACCACTGACATCAACAATCTGAATAGCTGGGTTGGAGCCTCAACCGACCAGTCAGGAGATGTGAGTCATACCATCGTGACACAAATTTTCCCCTTTTTCTGAACCTAGAGTAAACAGACGTTTAAGACCCTGACGTCAGAACTTTGAAATAAAAATAATTAAGTGGGATTCGGATAGCTGCTTCAGTTGGAAAACTGTAAAATACCAATAAACAGATTTTCTTCTGCCTCATGGCCTCTGACTTTGTTCTGCTGACAGGCTATAGTGAACTGCCAGAACATCCCGAGCATGCCCGATGTCACCTTCACTCTCAATGGAAACGCCTTCACAGTCCCTGCATCTGCCTATGTTTCTCAGGTCAGTAAGACCATCCTGCCAACCACAGCACCAAATAATACAATACAATAATGAAGATTTGAAGAAATATATCTTTTCTTTCTCCCCTGTCCACAGAGCTCCTCTGGTTGTATGACTGGCTTTGGTCAGGGTGGCACCATGCAGCTCTGGATCTTGGGCGATGTTTTCATCCGGGAATACTATGCCGTCTTTAATGCCCAGTCCCAGAACATTGGTCTGGCCAAGTCAGCGTAATGACATCAGTAATCTCATAAATACTCCAAGCATGTATTTTAATGGAATGGGAGAGTTTATGCAAACAGGAGTTTGTGGAAAACGTGCATGTGAACATGTTGTAGCTGCCTTTACATTAAACAGATTATAGCAACGCATAGCATTTCTCTGTGTGTGTATCTGTGTCGACTGGACTTGCATGGCTATCTACTATTATCGCACATCAGTAGAATAAAGTGTTTCTGTGTTGTGCTGAAATGTCACAGGAACAAGAATCAGTCCAGTGTGTTCTTTTATACACTCGACCTTTTACAAAGGATCTGAAAGTTTTCACTTTTTTTATGGTAAGGACAACAGGCTAAGAAAAAAATGACCCAACAGCTCTCAGAGGAAAAAAGGGCAAGTTGCCACTGACATCGAAGAAGCTGATAAGGACAAACATTGATAGAACAGATGATAACCTGATGACATGATTTCACAACTCTGCTGCTATCTCAACCTGTGAACATGAGAATGGGGAAGTCTCAAACACAGACAAAGCACAGATTTACTGCAGAGACAGAGTTAACTGTTTTAATTTCATTTCTTATGCTGTCAACATTTCTCCATTAATAGCTCTTTATTATAAACATCATCAGATTTCAGATTTTACAGTCCATTCAAGGTTTGGGATACAAAATAATCAAAACAAAGTAGAAGTGATCAATCTCTGCTTGATCATTAAACATCTTTTAGTATTTAAGCAGTTAACTGACATATACATAAAAAATTTCCAACAAAACACTGACAAAAGAATTAAAGTGGATCAGACATTAAAATCTGTAACTCAAATTCACGGTTGGATTGCCAGTATGGAGTATTCCACCATCCCAGCATGCTCTTCCTCGGCAGCTCCTGTTGGTGCGTTGTGCATCCTCACATTTGCATACACTTCTTCGGGCTTCTGCAGAGCCCTGAAGTCCACCATTGTGTAGACTATGCCGCTCGTTTCCTAGTAGAGACACATTTTGCCAAGAGACAGTATTTTAGAGGAAGTTTAAAGTATAAACATGTCTCCAATTTAACATGATAGTGAGTCACAGCGACTGCTTGTTCCCTGTTTAGCACGTACCGAAGCTTCTTGGTTCAGTGAGTCACAGTGAGTTTGTCCATATTTGTCTACAAAGAAAAACAACAGAACTTCACATCATTTACCCATTCTATAAGAGGAAAAAAAGAATATATTTTATCATAAACTTTGGCAGACAGTCTGAGCTCTGCGACAGCAGTTTTCAGGGAACTGCTTACCTAGCAGTTTGGATTTTGTCCTGACTCTGCAGCAAACAACACCAATCACTGAACTGATGAACATCATCACTGTAATTGCCACAATGACAGCCAGTGGCAAACTAAAACTCCAGGAGACTCTGAAGAGGAGCAGAGCACAAAAATGAAAAAACTATTCATGTTTCAGACCCAGGAACAATTTGACCAGTGAGCAACAACAAAAACGAGCAATGTGCAGAGTGACCACCTGTTGCTGTCACCGTGGTCCTCTGCTAAAGCAGGTCTAGTGGACTCTGGGAGTGCTGTGGATGTGCCGGGGGCTTTGGTGGTCCCTGTGATTGGAGGCTGTGAATGGCTGAAGTGATCTGAAACTTCTGCAAATTTCAGATATAACAAAGTCAAATAAAAATCATGCTTAAATACAGCTAATAAACAATGACAGTAACGACTGTTGCATGAAATGCATTTAGAGCATCCTGTCAAAAGTTTTATAAGAATACTCACCAGACACTTCTACATAATAGTCCCTGTAGATGTGATTTGGGGCTCCCAGCACGACACACCTGTAAAAGCCTCCATCTACAAATTGCACATTTGCTATTCTAAATTCAATCCAGCCATCATTTTCTATTTTGGTCACTCTTCCTTTCAAAAGTTCACAGGTATATCCTGAACTGTCCATCAGCCTGTAGCAGCCTCCCGGATACAGTTTACAGCAAGCCTTGTTGTAACTGTTGTAAAATGAAGGAAAGGAGAGTCTCAGGAAAATGTGCTCGAACTCTTTAATCCTCTCCTGGCCTTTTAGATGACAGATATCTGGAAAACAAACAGCTGTCAATACAACTTCTCAAATACTGGAAAAAGTGGAATAGCCTTTTTTTTCATACCTATTAAAAGAATAAAAACAATGGAAAACTTCATCTTCATTGTGATGCTCGCTAATTCTCAGCACTTTGGGACAGTTTTAGTTTTGAATTCTTGCTGCAGGATTGAAGGCTCCTCCTAAAGAGGAAAGAAGAGGAAGTTGTCAAAGACGTGCTCCTCACGAGGCTTTGGGAACTGTTGCTGGACACGTCTGTGGCACAACAGTTCTGTGGCTGATTCTTTTTT